GATTCTAGCTATTGGCAGCCGGTTCTGGTTGCTAACTCCTGCAAATAGGAGGGACTCACTGTTGATTTTTCTTCTTATGTGTGTGTGTACGCCTGTACGTGTGCGTATATGCACGTGTGTAGGATGTGGTTGTTATTTCTTCTTTCATAATTTCCTTGTTTCCTTATACTCTCTCATTATTCCTTTGCTTTCTTTCTCTTTCTCTTTCGGTTCGGTGTCAAAAAAAAAAACAAAAAAAAAAAACGTAACAATGTTACTTCCGGTGTCAGTGACAGGACATTTATATAGGCTAATATTCATTAATATTCTGAAATTTTATAAAGTTTTTGAAAATATAGGTCTGTTCCGTTTATTTATTCATTTATTTATTTATTAAATAATTAATTTTTTTTTAATTATTTCTTGTCTAAATAATTCAATTTTTTTAATTAATGCTCACGCGGACAACACTACAATTTACTCCTGCCTCAAAAACAAACCTAGTGTCGCTGATAAAACTAACCTGGCCGTTTGTCTCGGAAAGGACCTCCAATCGGTTGTGGACTGGGGCAGGAATTGGCTGGTTAACTTTAACGCCTCAAAAACAAAACTGCTCTCTATTAATCACCACAGAGATCCTTCCCTGCCCCCCAGCTATTAGAATGCCTGACGCTCAACTTCTCGAGAGCACCCATCTCCGGCTGCTCGGTCTCACATTGTCTGCTGACCTGAGATGGAACAAATACATTGAGTCAATATCTTCGTCCACCGCAAGGAAAGATGGAACCCTGTGCCGCGCCAGGAAATTTTTCTCGCCGGAGTCGATCCTTCAAATCTACAAATCAACCATTCGACCTTGCTGCCATATATGGTCTGGAGCCCTCTGTTTGTCTCAAGGTTCTTGATAAAATCCAGAGAAGGATATGCAATGCAATTGGCCTTGATCTGGCATCTCGTCTGCAGTGGCTCTCTCACAGACGGCCGTCGCCTCTTTTTTACAAATATTTTCATGGTAATTTCTCCCGTGAAATAGTTTTAAAAAAGAGGGGACAGTAGAGAGGAAAAGCGGTTCAGGAGGTCACAACAGCAAGAGAGATCATCATTTCCACTTAGAGTTAGAGAGACCAATTAGAAAAGATCCAACTCAATCCATAGGACGTTTGGCACGCGATAAAGAAGTTTCACATATGACAGTCCAAAGAGCAGTGAAAAATGACTTGAAAATGAAATCGTACGTGAAACGTGTGAGTCAATTGTTACTCCAGAACAGAAAGTTAGAGAGGGCGAAGATCATCATGAATAAGTATATATATATATATATATATATATATATATATATATATATATATATATGAACTTAATTTCAATCTTTCACGATCTTAGTTATGATTAATTAATGATGAACATGTCATTTTCATTTATGATCGATTTCATCAGGTTAAATTTAAAAAAAGTGTAACTACACATTATTATTGCTCAAATTAGAGTCCAATAATGTGATAAAACCTCGCAGAATTCCAGTAAGATATCTTTAATCATTTCTAAGATACAACGGCTCAGAGATTAACGTAACAATTGGAAAAATTTTGCTGTTACACCTGGTGTATATATATATATATATATATATATATATATATATATATATATATATATATATATTATAATTATTTTTTTAAATATAATCCCATCGCTACACATGAATTACAATGTGTAGCGATGGAATCATGTCTATATTTGTGTATCGAGCACTGTTTTTAAAAATAAAAACAAAAATACTAAAGATCTTCGGATCATCAATCTAACGGTTCTTTCCTATTTTATCTATAGACACACACAAACACACACATATAAATACACACACACATAAACACACACACACGCACACACACACACACACATATATATATATATATATATATATGATAGACATAGACATATGTAATAATATTAGTCACAATTTCATAATCTATTGTATTTGACACCGTCTTGGTACCCCATACAAGGTGTACGGAAATGTATTCGGTCGCCCCTATAATTATATTAACATGTTTGTTATCAAATACATTTGTCAACATCTCATTTTTGAATGGGTCGACAACTTTTCAGTGCACAGTTCATCTAAAACTAAATCTGTGGATTCAGGCAGGGCTTTGTCAATATTTTCAATTTGTTTCATTCACATCAAGTGACAGTAACCGGAAATCCGTAGTTTTCGCTCAAGTCCACAACCCCAGTATCCTCCCTTTTCAAAATCATGGAATCGACAATGGGTGGGGTGAGGTGTGGTGGGGGTGGTGTGATTCCCTCTTGAGGCTCTTCGCCACTTTTTCCAGATTTGACTTTTACACCTTGATTACTTCAGCACGCATTCTTCGCCTGGGCTCTCATTTGTCAACTTCTTATCAAAGATTATTGATCGAGCGAAATATCTGTAAGCTCTTAATCTTGCGAATTAGTTCTGTTTCTGAATTTTTTTTTTTTTAATTCAAATCTAGCGCTCCCTGGGGTCAAAAAAAAAAAATGCAAAGAAAACTGAACGCTTTATAATGAAAACTTCTTTAGAAGGTAACCTGAAGGATTAAACCAATAATGGAAAATAAATGGTTATATTTAGCCAGCAGTAATTTTGCATTAAAGTGTCAAAAATAACGAATTACTTGAATTTTTACTCGTCGTAATAAATTGCCACTACTAACCTACTAATACTATTACTACTAATACTACTAATGCTGCTACTACTACGACTACTACCATTGATAATAGTATTAGAAGTAGAATTTTATTGGCACTAATTATTAGAAAAAAAGATTATTATATTCACGTTTTTCAAAATTCCAAACTTGATTGATTGATGAGAAAGTAAGAATCATTTATAAAATTCACTATTATTTAAAATTGTATATAACAGACATTAAGATCTGACATAAGCTGGAACTGTCCACAAATCTTTTTTAAATTTTTAATTGCCTGTTCGAAGACGGACTGTAAATGTCTAAAAATGTTGTTCGTGCCGAAACCTTTATATAAAAGGTTATCTTTGCTACACGCGTATACATATATACGAATAATAAATTCTAATTTATAATTTAGGTACAATAAGTAATATAGAACAAAAATAGATCGACTGTAGTAATATAAACATGGAGAAAACATGTCTGTTTGATATGTATGCGTAATGTCATGGGACGCGGTGCGATTTTCGCTTCCAGTGGCTCGTATTCACGAGTTTGCCATTGCTTGGACATCTTCCATGTAAACAGAAACAGATTATCATTATTGTTTTGTCCGTGTATTGGTTGATATATTGAAATGTAATTGTCGTCTTTGACAATGGCTTATTTAAACCGGAAGCTTAGATTGGATTTAAACATGTATCAATATGGTGATTTCCTTTCGTCTTTCAATGATAGTGTTATTAAGCTTATCAGACAATATGGAAGGAACTTAAAATAAATAGACAAAACTTGTCTATATTATTTAATGAAACATGCATTAATGAAAAAATGTTGCCTAAATACACACCCACACATACAATATATATATATATATATATATATATATATATATATATATATATATATATATATATATGTATGTATGTATGTATTCAAACTGTGTTGAGTAATATCAACAAATTCTGTCTATTCAATTTTTCAAAAACTTTTTTATTTTTATACACACTTCATTAAACGCTCTCTTATTGCTCGTAATACACGCAAGTGTATTACAGTGTATTGCAAGTGTATTACAGCAAACTAGAAAAGGGCTGGGATTAAGCAAAAAGCGTTGCAGAAACACATAAAAAACGAAATCCAGGAAAACGCATGTAACAACATCCGATGGAACTAGATGAATAAAATAAAATAAAATAAAATAAAAATAAACTTTGTTCCAACAAGTAAGTTTGAAAAAATTAATTAAAAAATTCGAGAGGTAAAACTTGATATTATTCAGCAAGCAGGGCACCTCGAGGTGGTGTAATGGTTAACGACCTTGTCTTGCTAGAGTTCGATCCTCACTGGGTACGCCATACTTTCGGCCTTGTGGCACATCTAAGCTACGCTTTGAAACTCCCTATTATTCAAGTATATATATATATATATATATATATATATATATATATATATATATATATATGTAGCTAAAAAAAGCAAAATTTATAAGGCATTTTAAAACAACCGATTTCGTCCCAGAACTTATCAAGTTTATTTTTCTGGGATTTTTTAAAAATATGTAAGCGTGTAAATTAAATGTAAAATTAAATTTTATATGTATATATATATATATATATATATATATATATATCGTCAGGCGGCCAGTTGAATTTACCCACCTTTGCACTAGGGAGGATATGGCCCAATGCCAATTTTTACGTGGCGCAAATCCGAGCCCGTGGGCTCGGGCAAAAATTCCCCGTAGACCCCGCATAGATGGGGTCGATTCTGTCTACCATCCCAGACGAGACTCGGCCCTTTGGGATTTCTCTCTGCCCGAAGGCAAAGAGTTTGACACGAACTGAGCCTCGCCGGCGGCAAGCTTACGCGGCCGACATCAGGCGGCCAGTGGTATTTACCAAACTCCCCACTAGGCAGGAGGTGGCACAGGGCCAATTTTATGTGGGAAATATCCGAGCCCGTGCCACAAGGTCCACAACTGACCCTCCACATTCAGAGTTACCCTTCTCTTAGACCAGTTGCCATCTAAGGCTATAGAACCTAATATTGTCTTGCTTACTTACCCATAGCTGGGGGAGAAGAGGTTTTATAACTTTGCCAAGGAATTTAGCATGTAAGTGAATGTAAGGGATTCGACTGGATTCCTGAATTCGAAACGCTATCCATTACCCCACCGCGCATATATATATATATATATATATATATATATAGAGAGAGAGAGAGAGAGAGAGAGAGGGAGAGATCTAATTATGAAATGATAAGTAGCTATAACTGTATATTCATCAGTATGTGATCAAAATTATGCTGAAGATAGTTTGTTGTTAAAATATTTATTTCATTGTTATA